GCCACAGAATGTTTCCATTCATTGTTTTCTCTTGTCACGTCAGTTTCCTCGTCATCATGTGCACTACCCAGTCTGACAAAACTATAGACGTGACTAAATTATTCAGGGTTTCAGCCTTGGGCGATGTCTTTGTGTACATTATACAAAGGAAGGTTGTGCCAGTAATGTGATCAGCATACTACTTCTAAAGGAGAACTTTTGTGGTAACTGGATAAGTTCTATGCAAAGCCTATTCAGGCAGATCAAAAGTGAGCATGCTATCAGAAAAATCAAGCTTTGTTGACAAAGCCCCCCCCCCCCCCCACACACACACACACACACACAAACAAACAAAACACTGCAATGCAGAATTTCTTAAATTAAAAATAAAATCTGCAAAGCTAACATAACTGATCCATGCAGTCTGAGTCCTGCTGTGATTAAAAGAAAAGAGATGATGTCAGGTTGCGTCACAAAAATGTCTAAATGTCAGGTTATCATCTTGCTTTTAAAACGTCTCCTCCGTGTCCCCCAGCTTGTTCAAAGTTGAACACTATTACTTCAAATTGACTCACCACAGTCATTGTTTATAATTAATATTTTACCATAATTAACAATTAAATGTTGAAAAGAATAAAATAAAAAGTTGACTCCTGACAATAACAGAACTCTAGTCTTAGTGCACGTCATAGCAAATGACCACAAGGGACTCAGTCAGTGGTCATGTTCACCATTTATTATAAATGTAAAGGTATTATTACCATTTTTAGGTTGTAATGGAAAAATGTTAATAAGTATAAAGCCGTTGTTCTAGCTGGAGCTGCGAGTGAAAGAAATCCAGTGGCTCTTAGCAGCAGACCCAGATCCCGCATTTAACTAGTGTTTATCTGTTGTCTTTAAATGACAAAAGGGGGGGGAAAGTGAACAGCTGTTTAGAAGCCATTATAAACCCCATCTAGCAGTTAATGAGTTTGTATAAGTGGTACGATCCTCTCGATGGTAGGGAGGAATAACAAGACATCACATTTGACCATGCCAGAAATCAAAGAGATCATGTGGTATGTTCATGACATTTCTAACCTTCAGTAGGACGTTCACATGGAAAAAGAGTAGAGCTAGGTTGCTTTCTCTAGTCTTCCTTTCAGGCATGATAAAGTGTTTCTGTGTTCTGTGCTATAAGATGCATAAATTGATGTTGTGCTAAGGCTCACTTGTCGTCCTCTTCCTGGCAGCTGGTGTTTCAGTATTTGGAGCATTCCTGCGCTCTGAGTTCAGCGAGGAGAACCTGCAGTTCTATCAAGCCTGTGAGCGGTACAAACATTCGTCCACCAACTTCAGCCTGCAAAGGAGAGCCAAAGACATCTGCGCAACCTATATCCAGCCAGGAGCCCCCCGGGAGGTACACATGTTCATACTCAGTCTTACTGGTTGCACTGGGCAGCCTGTCTTCTTGGAACAGGAATTGTAATTCAAGTCCTGTTTATTTTTTCCTCTTTCTGCATTGCCAACTGTTTTACTGCTCAGAGTCTCTCTGTGTTATCAAGAAGCTTGTGTGGGTGGTTCAGATTTGACGTTATAGCGTTCCATCAATAGCTGCTTTCATGTGGAGCTGTTGTTTTTGTTTTTTTTTTTCTTTCTTCCACTAATAGAGACATTTCCCCACAGCATGAGATTATATGTGTGACAGTAGCTGAACTTAAAGTACCAAATACTGTGGAGAAAAAAAATATTCATTTGCTTCTCCAGTAGGTCCCTTGTTTCCCAGGAGTCCAGCTCCACTGTCTTATACTGCAGCTATAGCAAGGTGCACAGTAGGTAAAGTCCAAAAGTAAAATGTCAGTATGAGTGTGAACAGTATGACTTTTGATGTGATTCAGGGGATTCCATTAATTTAGCATTAGCACTGGAACTTTAACAAAGCGATCTTTTCTGTCTAGTTGAAGGTTTTTATGCCAGGAAGAAGAGAACTGCACTTATTAAAGTTTATTAACGGAAAGACGACCGTCCAGGAATCAAACTGTGCTTTATGTTGGCGAGCTCCAAGAATACTCACTGAAAAAGTAGGAAGACCTAAATGACATGACTTAACACCGAACCACTACAAGATAAAGGTTATCTGCAAAGCCCAAGAAGTTGTAGCCCACCATATCGTCAAAAATTTGGACATTTCTACACTGAAGAACAAAGAAACAGTGTTAACAAAGTAAAAGGAGCATAAGCTACAAAGCAGCTTCCTTTTGTGTTCATAACTATGAATGAAATCTTGTAAGTTAACATGTGCTAGCAGCAGATTTGGAAAACCCAAACGCATCAAGTCTGTACTGGGCCCTATTTGCTTTAACCCCAAGTTAAGCGCGCGCACGAGGATACATAAAGCCCTGATTAGTGGAGCACAGATTAAGCGAGTCACCATGGAGACGGAGGGAAAGAAGGCGCGGTCAATGTATTTTACAGCGCTTGAGGCCGAAATTCTGATGGCAGCATATGCTGATAACATGCAAATTTTGCAGAAAAAAAAGTAACACAGCCTCAGCTGCAAAATAAAGGGAGCATGCATGGCAAAACATAGCCGACAGAGTCAATGCGTGAGTGTTAATTTAAACATTGATCTAGGGATTTCCACCCATTTAACACGTTATTATATTTTATTTTGTATTTCATACATTTTATTTTGTGACGTGATTTGAGCGCAGGTGCAACCCAACAGGCCCCAAACGTTCCTGGCAGCAAGTAAAAATGAAATATAAAAATACAGTCCAAACAGGTAAGGTGTAATTGTATTATGAGCCATAGTGCTTGGTCTGTTTGTCCGATGTAAATCAATTGCAGTTAGAGGCTACATTAATTTCCCCTCTGTAAGCACTTATTGAAATTATCTGAGCATTACAAGTACATATTTTCTTACTCTATATTCTCAAATGTGACCCGTTATGGCCAACAGAAAAAAAGCGGAGGCCCAAAAAACAGGTGGGGGTCCTTCACCACCACCACTCACAGAGCCTGGCCACTTGGCTTCCACATTTGTGATAATGTTGGCAGCATCACATATGATCTTCACAGTGCAGAGAACACAAATTAGCATCCATTACTATAATGAAATAATTTGTTAGTTTGAAATGCTACAGGGAACTATGTACCTGCACATTAATGCTGTGGAAAGACTTCCTGTTCACATAGTCTCCTTCATTTACTGAAGGAGCAATGATTGGAATGTGAGTGCCATCTATACAGCCAATCACGCCTGGGAACCGTGAGAATAAATGTAAAATTTAAGTAGTAGTCCAAGTATCACCACATCATACATTAAGTTTTGGTCATCCTGATACCTGCAATTTTGTGGCATCCCTCTTTGATAAATCTTGTGGGTCTATGACCGGGGAACACCACAAACGAGTACAGGAGACGTTTCAGTGCAACTGTAACATTCCTGACTGCCCGACAGACGGTAGCCTTGGAAACGTGCTCAGCGTCACCAATATTATACAGAAAGCTCCGGTTTGGAAAAAACCGAAGTGCAATACAAATAATATGTACAGAACTGAGAGGATGTCCACGATGTGTCACATGAGCAATATTAGGCCTGAGGATGTTATTCAAATAAATTATAGACTGTGCTGAAAAACGGTAACGTTCACACAGAAAATCATCAGGAAATGATAAAATGTCCGAACGCGCTCTAATCACTCTCTCCCGGCGGAGAGCTCTGCAGAGAATTTGGGCTTCACGATCTACTGGCTCTTCAAGGACGGGGCACGCCATGTCTGACACTTCCTACAGTCAGGTTTCCGACAAAGAGGCGGAGAACGTCAGGGTTAGTTGTAGTAAACCTGCTAGGGGGCAGGTTAGCTTCACGGAGTGTGTCGTCATAGTAACTCACTGAGGCTTCATCTGAACTCGCTTTGTGAAACCGAAAACCCAGAGTTTTCGTTAACTCAGGGTATACTTACTCAGTTTTTCCACTAAACCGGCTTCCTGAAATAGGGCCCTGAAGCTCAATTCTGAGGTGGAAAAATGAATAAAACAAACACGATCACAGTGCCATGTCAACATAATTCGGAAAGTGCTCCTCTGTTCTGGGAGTATTCACACACCGAAATCATGCACTGTTGTACTGTGACACTCACTGATCTTGGCAGATGTAAAGCTGCAGAAGGAATTCTGAGGATGTGAGGTTATCTGTAAAGCTTGCATAAGTTCTATACATTTCTTTGTCACAGACGCATGCTAATAATTATCTGTTTAAGGGAACTTTGTTCATTATCAGCTTTGCATGCTCCTCATTCTTTCCACCATCTTCATGAACTCTTCACCTGGAGACTTTGAGCATTTGTTGGCTGGTTTTCCTTCAGTAACCTCAAGTTATTCCAAACCGTCTCTACTGGAACAATGTTGATGATACAGCACTCATTATTGTGCTACCTGGTAATCGAGGCTGAGGAGAAAACAAATAGTCTTAAGTCAAACTCGATTTTGATGCCGATTTTTATCTATTTATTTTTTTGGCTTGTCTTTCCATATAGTATTTGAATTGACTTTATGTGGCTATTGCACCATCACTGTGTCCTATTGCAGGTAAATCTGGACAGTACGACCAGAGACCTGACGATCCAGCTGCTGCAGGCTCCCTCTCGTAGCTCTCTGTCCCACGCACAGAAACGCATCTACTCACTTCTGGACACAGACTGTTACCCACGCTTCCTCCAGTCTGACGTCTACCTCGCCTTACTCCACGAGGCTGAATAGATTCCCCACACTTGGACTCAGGAGAAGGAATGGTGGCTTGGTGGTTTCTGGAACGGCTCAACTTCCTTCAAACTGTAAATTATAAAAGCTAACTATGCTGTCAAAAGATCGAGCTGCTGTGTACAAAGTTTAACCCCCCCCCCGACACACACACTCCCTGACGTCGTAGCTCAAATGTTAATAATAGTTGGACACTGTAAATAGAAATATTGGTTACTGCAATTAAAACTTGGGGAATTGTGTTTTCACTGAGATGTTTGTGATGTTACAATGATTAAGACTGAAAACAGTTGGAAACGGCCAGCGAGCTTCTGTCCGTCATACAAAATAATGAAGTGCTAAACTTGAACCGCTACAGTGAGGTTGTCTTTTTACACCGATGGCATCACCAACAAGTGAGACATTTTAACTTGTTAAAAAAAATCACAAAATTTAAGAGGAGACCTCTCTAAAATCTGAAAACAGCATTTTACTTTAGTTTCATATTATTCCAAATGGAAAGAATCTTGATAAACTTATCAAGACAGTTAACGATCTTATTATTATTCAGCCCCCTGTACCATGGAGAAGTAAGACAGTTCTGAAGGCTTCATCCTTCAGAACAATCATCCTGATACCAGCAAGCTATACAAAGTGGCCAGTAAGTGTATATACTAATATACTGTACCAACACAATTTTTGAGTCCAAGATTGTAACTTTACCACTTGTTACTAGTTTTTAAGAAGCAGCTACATTTGGCTCTAACAGAAAACCTCCACACATAAGGCAAACATTTCGCTGAGAGCAGATCTCACTCTCAGAGTTTCCTCTGCTGCATGAAAGGGGAAAAACAAGTTCAGCAACAATGAGCTCTTTGCTTGAAAGGTCAGAGTGTGAGATATTCAGAAAGCAACGGGGAGAAACCTGAATAAACTGACTGGTGACTTAAATAGCTTCATGCCTTTAGGAAATTTGAGTTGCTTTAGTCTTTAATGTTCTTTGTATTCCTCCTATTCCTGCCTTGTAGCAAAGAGGTTCTTAGTTTGAATCCCAGTTGAGGTTTCTGTATTGAGTTTGCATGTTTTAGGTTTCCTCCACCTTCCTCTCACAGTTTGTTCTGGTGTGCTGGAACATTTCTTTAACTTGTATTTAGCTGGACAGAACAAATATATTTTCTACTATCCTCTGCACACCAAGCACATTAAAGAGGTGAGGAGAACAGCATCAACCCAGTTATGAAGTAATTGGTATTTAACAGTTCCAGTCAGTTTTATGTTACTGTAGTGGCTGCAGCCATTCAAGCAAAGTGTCCCCACACATTGTCTATAAGACACAAACAAAGCCAGTAGTTCATAAGCCTGTGCCTTAGTGTGCAGTGCAAGAGGGTCGAAATATTGTGTTTTTTAAATCACATTTTTGAGTCCTCGTAGCGAATACACGAGATATACAAAAAAGTCTGAAAAACTATTTAAGCTCTGCAAACAACTCAGCGTTACACCCGCTCCAAAGGGAATCTGATTTTTGTTTATCAGAACAGTCTTTATAACCAACACTACTCATCAGTATCATGGGATATAGGTGCTGTGATGCTGCACACAGTCTGCAAAAACTGTTTGCTGACTGCATTTTTATACCAAGATCATCATCTAGCCGTGACGCCTTCTGGGTTAAAATCATTTTCTAATCCTTTACGTTGAGTTGATCGGGTTGCCATGTTTTTCAAATTTTGTTGATTTAATTTAAGGCCCTTTTCATGTGTTAGTTCGTTTATTCTGCCCTGAATTAGTTGGTGAGAACGAGCTGCATTGTGTCGCCATAAACTATGTGAGAATGTTTAGTCCGCTTATTGGTCAGATGTGTCTGGGAGAGGAGCAACAAAAGTAACATTAGGTTGTGGGTTTTGACCAAGTGGACAACATGGATAAAATACATAAATTTTACAGCTAGGCTGTACTCCTGGTGGTGTACTCTGCAAAGCATGTGCAGCCAGCAGAAGGCTTTTAGCTCAAACTTACACCTGTAAAAGAAACGCTCTGGAGTTCAGTTGTTTTGCGATCACCGTGCTCACATCTGCATAAACGAACTGCACAAAGGAGGACATGAAGCAGGGTTCGATTTAAACAGAATACACTGTTGGTGTGAAAACACCCAGTCCAGCTTCTTCTGGGTGATCCAAGGTATCCAATGGAGGGTAATTATGGTGATCGTAATGACTATGAGATGCAGGTGAAATCTCTTGGGATTATTGTGTCCCAAAAGTCATATATCCGATTGTAGTTACCTGGGTTTATTCCTTGCAGCTGCAGTGGACGTCGCTGTTAAACAAATTGCTGACCAGAGAGACGCTGATCCATCGAGCAGAATAACTACATTCAGTTTACTTTTAGTGTTTACAGGTGCCAATTAATAAGTTTTTTTTTTTATATTGTACAGCATAGAAAGGATGTTTCTGTGAATTCTGTGACATGAAGTCGTCAGTGCCAGTGAAATAGCAGCACTAATGTGAATCAATGCCAGGGGCCTCTTAGCTTTAATGATCTTCCTTAAGTAACAAGGTAAAAAATGGCCCTCTCCCTCTGGATTTTGAGGATGGTTCATCTAAAAAAGTACCTCAAACAAATCCAGGAATTCATGGGACCAGTGGGGAATTGTGTTTAAAAAGAAAACAGTCCTGTTAACATTCCCGCCTTGTCTTCCTCTGGCAGTTTCCACTGTGTACATTCCAGTAATTCTGTGTCTTCCATCTGCTGATACTGTATGAATGATCATACTGCGCCTCCACCCCGGGTTTGGAAGCATTGTTCAAACACAATGTATAATATGAATTCTAGCTTTTTCTCATTTGGCTTAATTTATTCAGAAAAGACTAAGTGACATATAAATCCCAGATTCTGCTTCTTTTACGTAGGACCTCCAAAGCAGACTGACTCAACTAAAACAAAACAACAAAAAACAATCAAACAGAGAAGTTATAAGTTCAGTTAAACCCAGGTAACAGGTTTTGGCATTAGGGTTTAAGCCCATTCTGACTGTTGGAATACTAAAGTTCATGGAAGTGTAAAAATGACAAAATAAGGATATATCGTGGTGTATTTTGGCTTTATGGACCATTCTAACTAAAGTTTACATTACAGCAAAAATGTGTAAACTTTCTACCCAATTTGTTTTCAGTTCTGTCTGAAAAACCTAAAAATATATGTTTTGTCTCACAAACATTTCCATTATTTAATGAAACTCCGGTTAGTGGAAAGTTGCAGGAAGCTCTGTCCATGGGAGACTTCTTTAAGTCCAAAATAAATCAAAATGTTTTGCTTGATTTCTCCACAAATACACCGTTTCTGTTCTTTTTTAATTGTTTGATTTTTGAACAAATATTAAAAATGACTAATTGTCTATTTCTGTGCTTTGCACTTGTGGATGACCTGTACCATTAGCACCCAGAGCAGTCTACAGACTGTGTTTGCATGTTTAAGGATTTATTTTCTTACTTGCAAGATCTGAAAAACACCAACATGGGTTATGAGTTATCATTTTAAATACTGCCTGACACACATTACCCTGAGGGAATCTCATAAGTACACATGGTCTGATGTACTATCTACCCTGTCACCACATCTGAACCCGGTCAAACAGGGGAGAATTTGGATTGATGTGTTACACACTCAACTCCATAACCATCAAATCTTTTGGAAGACTGATACAGATCCATCTTTCCAGAGACTTGGAAAATCAATGCCAGGGTACATTGAAGCAAGTAACCGGTCTGTACATCATGTCGTTATGTTACAGTCTGTGGCTGCATGTAGCTGTTACACATGTGCAAAACAGAAATGGAAAATTAAGAGTAGGCTACTGTATCACTCTTTTTAAATATTTGCTAAAAAATGCAACAACCCAAATGTGATAAACTGAAAGTGTATCATGCTATTATCCCATCAACCAAGATCACGTTAGTAACCTTTGTCTTATGCAATGTTTCCCTGAATTTATACAACAAAATAAGTGAACCTAACAACGCTCAGTGCGAAGGCTACTAAGATGAAAAACCTACCTGAGTTAGCTGGACCTGTCTTGCCAGTAACACCACTGACTTAATGGGCCAATTATTCAATTAGCAAGGATGCAGCCAGTCTGACTTCAACGGAAAACTGCTCCACATTTAGTTCATCTTATCCAGTTGCAGTTGACTAGAAAAGATGAGCTAGTTGACAGCTGAAGAACTCGTTTGGGAAACCAACTAAGGCAGCCATTATAATAGCCTTTCTAAAACCAGAAAGACTGGAAGTGTATTTTTTCTGAACTGAACTTTGGCACTTAAACTTCGCAAAGAAATTGTTGCATCGTGGGCTCTCAAACACTCAAAAGTCGGCTCAAACATGTCTGAAAGCCTTTTAGGCATCAACATTTTGATAATGTTTAAAGTCTGTAATCGTCACACATTCACCAGGGCCGGGTGCTCCTGTATTCCTGCTTCTGCTTCACCCACTGGGCAGTGTAGCAGTGCACCCCCACAGCCCATGACCTGTCTTCAACTCTGTCACTCTCCCACAACAGAGGTCTCTGGTTGCCTGCTGGAAGCTGTGAACTGTCCAGAACCTTCATCTCCTCTTCAGAACGACGGGATTCAGGATCTGCGCCCAGGTGTGTTTCTCTCCTGTCTAAAGAGGTAGTGCTGCTTATGCAGTCCTTCTTGGATGTAGAGAGAGGTGGAAGCAAGACAGGCCAGTTCCTGTGTGAACGGGGAGTTGGTAAAAAGGTAAAAGTAAGGGCAGATATGAAACTGAACATTGCTCTTATCCGATTTCTTCATATCTATGGTTGTGTGTGAGGGCTGCTGTCACTCTGCTACCCACATGATGATTATATGTCACACTGTCTCATCAGCTACTCTTGTTATTGTGTTATTTGAGGAAGACAACTTTAACACTGCACCCACAATGTGAAATATCTGTACAACTTTGCTCAAAGCTGCTAAAAACTCTGGTCGCCTGCGCGTAGATTCTTATAGTCCATTAAGGAATTGAAGAGGCTCAGAAAGTCTTCAGATCTTTTTCCCTCATCATACTGATTATTGTGTTGCCAACAATAATCAGATGTAGCATTTAATCCATGTGTCACCATGAATTTAATATTACATCAATAAGCTAATAGGAAAGTCTGGAGATGTGGTTGCATATCTGGTGCATAAAACATGTTCTGAGCATTTTAGAGAAACGGTCCATCATAGTCATCCGTCTGCTGGGATGTAATTCCAATTGAGGCATTTTTGTAATTGTGACAACATTTTGAGGTGTTTCAACCCCACATCTGCACACTAAACCTCCTCATTTTCTTTTTTAATGCCTGCTAACCTCTAAAACAATTGGTGGATCAATGTGTGAATACCTGTTTTGTTGTGAGTGAATACTGTATCCCAATGTGTATGACTGATCCCCTACTGCTCTCAGACCTGAGGTGGCACATGGTGCTAACATGTGAGGAAAGGGAACAGATGAATAATAAAAAATAAAAATGAGAAATTGATGAAACACAGTTTTCCATAAAAAGAATATTTCTTATAATCTGCATTTTTGCTTTAGCAACAACATGACTGCGCTGACTTAACAACAGTGGCCCAATGCTCAGTGCTCTGAGAGCAAACATTCATAATAATGAAAGAAACATTTTACATGTAGACTGTCTAACACTTCAAAACCCAGTTGTGTGTTATGTCTGACAACCACAACTGGGTCAGTGTTTTAATCAGAGCTTAAGATCAATTTAAACCCAAGTGATATTCATGGACACAGTAACTGTGATGAACATGCTCCTCTGCAGTGTGGGGTGGTTCTCGTAAGAGCCAATTTGCTTTACTTAAAGAACCCAGTAACTTTCTTACAAGGATTACCTCTCAAGTGGATACATTCTAAGTGTTGACTACATGAACATAGTAACAACAGTGTACAAACCTGTGATCAAAGGAAACGGACTTCTCTGATGAATCTACTATATATGAAATACATTTCAGTTTCATTTTGCCCAAACAATAGAAAGGAATAAATAAAAGTCATTTAGTAATCAAGGTGTACGTCCAAACTTTGAAGCAGTCTTTTATCTGCCATAGTCTTCAATCAATATTTTGCAATGCTAAAAAAAGTTCAGCCCAGCGTATCATACTGGACATCGTGATCAGAGTGCATTGGATTAGAGTTTGTGGCTATCAGTCAGTGGCTGATGAGTTACGATTATCCTGTCACACAACCACATTTCCAGAGAGGTTGGCTAAATAAGAACAGAAACCAGTGATTTGCTAAATATTTACATTTTCTATTTATTGAAATAAAAAAATAAATAAAATAATAAATAAAATAATAAAAAATTGGATAAAAAAAAATGTTGACAAAATTTTAAATGTAAAATGTAATACCTGCAACAAAAACACTGGGCCAGGTACAGATTTAACACTAAGCTAGATTATGCATTCGTTTAACAACATCAAAACATTTGGGATGCGTGAAAGTGTTATTGTTGTTATTGCGTTTATACTGTTTTCATATAAACATTGTATAGAATGTAGATTAAATTAATGTAATTTACATGAATTTACATCCAAGCATGATGTGGTTTTTAACTGCCATCAACACCTCTACAAAACCTCACCTGGAGAGCATCTGTGCAGCAGTCCAACAGCTCTGGTGTCCATGTGTCGACTGTACAAGTTGCATCTCGCAACTAGACCCTGTTGGCTACTGGAGAAGTAGCAAAAGCCAGCAAGGATGATGAGAAGAAAATCAAATAAGATGGAGAGCAAGGCAGAGAAAGGAGAGAAGACAGGCACATGTTTGGATGGAAGAAAGAAAAAAGAAAAAAGAAATGACATAATTACACAACTCAAAATATAACAAACAGAAAAAATGCATGGTATACTGTTGAAATAAAACACACAAAAAAGAAGAATGGAAATAAGACTCGCAGCCTTAATTTACAATATCCTGTTTAAGTATCATTTCTGTGTGTGACAAAATGCAATTTCACAAGAGCAGTTTTGTGGCAGGTTGTTTAATGAGTTCTAAAAAAGTCAAGCAGATAAGACACGGCCATCAAGTTCCAGTCTGTCGTGCTGATAACAAGAAGGCCAAAAGGAGTTTGTTCTCTCCTCATTTGAGTTGAATAACTATTCTAGCAACAACAGACTCCCCATTCATAAGACAAAAACAGGCTATTTATTGAGCTAAGACACATCAGCCATTCCTTTGAAGGGAAGGAACAGGCTGGTCAATGAAAGCCTAGCTGAGATCTATTAAGGGAACTATTGATGACAGAAAGACGAGCCAGAATCAATCAGAGGGACAAAATAAATGGAGCACAATGGGTGACGAAAAAAGGGGAAAGAGAAGAGAAAGAAGGAGAGAATGAAAGGAGTCGGTCAGCAAAATAATTACAAATTACAGGAAAACTGGAGCCACTAATCACTACAGTGAGAGATCTGGACCTTGTTCTACTCAGAACAACAGTATCTGACTAGTTTTGCTGCTGGTCTTAGTGGCCACTTTAACCATGCATTCAAGAGTACACATACAATTTATATAACTTTACACAACTATTAGTGCTATTAACATACCACTTACACTTATTTATTATATTCATATTATATATATGACCCATTTATGTATAAAGCACCTATAACAGTGTTGTATCTACACAGAACCGACAAAAACAGACAAATGTGAATAGAACAACAGAACAACAGATTCACAGATAAAACAGCATTTATTAGCATTTTTGAGGCCATTTATTAAACTAGCCTAAAAAACTACCTACAGCAGATGAACAGCATCTGAAAGTTGGAACCTGAAAGAGGAATTTGGCCTTTTAATTGCACCATCTATGTAAACCTCATCAGAAATGGTCTCAGCCGCGACTAACCTAAAAACAGCTGGCCAAGCTGGAGGTGGCAGAGGTGAAGATGTTAAGATTTTCATTGGCAGAGACCAGAATGAACAGGATTAAATATTAGTATATCAGAGCGGATTGGAGAAAAGGTTAGAGAGGTTGAGACGATTTGGGCATGTTCAGAGGACGGACAGTGGACATACTGGACAAAGGATGTTGAAAATAGAGCCGCTAGGCAGGAGGAAAATAGGAAGACTTTAGAGGAAGTCTATGAATTTAGTCAAGGATGGCGTGCACAGGGTTCGTGTGACAGAAAAAGATGCTAGTGTTAGGATGACATAAAGGCGGTCCATGTAAACAACTGACTGTGGGAATGACAACGGTGTAATCCTGCTTCGTCTAAACCGGGCACCCTCTACACAGGTGGAACAACATTTGCAGATTGTCTGCTAAGTGTTTCTTCTCACAGATCCAGCTTTTCTTTGTTACTGAGGCTGAAACTGTGGGCAAATTTCATTTGCAGTAACTGACCTTGACATGATGTTAAGATGTGTAAAATATAGATTTCCATAATGCAGTTGCAGGTGAATTTTACAAAAAGAAGTGCGTTACTTCTTACCTGGTGCGTCTTGCTCTGCAGCGGTCGCTGAGAGGTGACTGTGGGCTCTGGTTCCTGTTGCAACCAGGGGAAGAAGTTGGAGTGACTCGAGGGGGTGCCCTGCTGGGGGAGCATCCCACGCTGAGGGATTTGGACCACTGGGAGGCCACCGAGCGCTGGGGGGAGTGGGGAGGAGCAAACGGCCAAGGAAGACTCTTCTGCTCCTGGCGAACAGCTAGACAGAAAAAAATATGTACATACTAATAGCACTAATTGAGAGCATCATATTTTATAGGCTCTGTGCTTGGTAAAAGCTCACCTTTAAACCCCCCCCAAAAAAACAAACAAAACAAAACAAAAACAACAACAATTTTATAACATTTTTCAAACTTTGGAAAGCCATAAAAGAAGCCTTGCTCCTTGGCTACAAATATCAGCTTACAGAGATTCAAGGTTCTTGAATTTGCACTTTTAGCTGGTTCATCTTCTACCCATAGCCATCATTATGTGTAAGACTGGAGACTAACATTTATATTTTCAACTGATAATCATATCACAATGCAGTTCAAGCCATGGTAAGGAGTAACACAAAGTTACAAGGAAGTTAAGTAACAAAATGCATTACTTTTAGACAAGTAATGTGTAATACATTACTTTTTTGAGTGTCACCGCTAACATGCTATAACCTACAATTTACTCTGCATTTGCTGAGTTAGTGTATAAGATTTTTATTGGTATTACGTGTTCTGGTCTATAGAGGAAGATCAGCTCCAGTCCATTCTTCAATGTTCAGACTTACCATAAAAGGATTTGTGGAAGCTTTTTTCCAGCACATTTTTGTTTATTTCCACAGTTTATATCAGTGTTACCGACAAGGGAAACAAGTGCTTTCTTATGACCGTGTACTTGGAATAGAGTCTTAATGTTTAATGTCAACACTTGGTTATGGCAAAGTGGCACTATGTGACTGTTTACCTTCTCTCTCCATTAAAGAGTAAGGCTTGATCTCTCCGTCTGGCTTTTTTGGGGGAACCTTTCTCAACTGGGCCGCTGCAGAGGAGAACAAACTCAGAGCAGAGGCAGAAGAGGAACACGAGTCGATCACCCCACCCGTCTCCTTACAGCACAGCCCCACATACTGTCCTTCATAAGCTCTGTATGGAAGACCAAAACTGTCTATATTATAAATAACACATTCATTTCATGAGTGCCAAGTTTCACTAGTAGTTAGTCATTATGAGAAGTGAAGACATGCTTCATCAAAAACCTGTCCATTATGTGTCCAACCATTCTTTCTTTATTCATACTGCACCCCCCCCTCCAAACAGCTGGGCGCGACCCCCACTTTGGGAACCACAGCCTTACAGGTCCCTCTTCTGTAATATGCTGACATATATTACATGTATCCATGGCATACATAACACTTGTGCCAAGCGGTTTGCAGTTACATTTCTAAACAGGTGAACTTTAGACTGCAGTGCATATGCATGATACATCAGACAAATCTGATGCTGTAAACTAGCTGATTCTTATGACTGACTGGTCAGTGGGTGACTCTAAAAAATACCAAAAATGGAAAAGTGAGTTGGAATGTTAAAAGGTAGGAAAACTACCTTTTAATTTATGTAACTTTTTTTTAAATTAATATTACATAATAATTTAATGGCATTTTGATTTATTCATTTAGTCAGACAGTTGTGCTCCTCCATACATTTAAACAATGTTTCCTCTGAAAGAACTATTTCTACTTTATCTTACAAGATAGTGTTGTGTCTGTGAAAGGGAGGATCCACTGTCAAACAGAATTCATATATTGATGCTGACAAAACCAGCAGCTCAGACGAGTGAAATATTCTCTCCAAAAATCAATGCAGACTGTTCCTGACATGATTGTTTTGGACGTCAATAAATATATAAAATTTATATACAGTGGAACCCCGACTTACGAAATTAATTCGTTCCAGAGGGTCTTTCGTAAGTCAAAATTTTCGTCGAAGCACCTTTTTCCATCGCCTTTTGAGTGAGGCGATGCTGGCTGAAGACGAAGTTCTAGGTGGAGGCTGAAGAAAGCATACGTAGGCATGCATACATATGTACGTGTACATGTACATAACATTATGGAATTTAATTCTAAACTTTAAAACTAAAACTTACATTTACGTTAATTAATGCATGTACGTACACTGTGCAATGATAATTATTTAACATTTTTTTAAACTCGCTCATATTTATGCCTTATGCCGGCCCCATTATGAATCAACGATAGGCTACTTGCAAAAGAAAAGCACATGAAATAGCGCACTGCAACAACAATACGTCTTTCACGTGGAACAGCGAAACGGATTTTGCAAACGGATTTTGTTACACGGGCATTTTGTCGTACTGCAGGCAAAAATATTGCCGTTAAGTGCCTTCGTAATTTGAATTTTTCGTTAAATGGGGTCTTCGTAAGCCGGGGTTCCACTGTATTTGATTCAGCCAGGCAAAGTCTTGTTTTTGTTCTGTTACCTGAGCAGTCTGAGTTAGCCAGAATCCAATATTTAAATTTTGTTTTTTATTTGCAAGTCTGTTTTTAGCCTACTCATGCTGTTTTAACTATAAAGACAATTCTTTCAGGTACCTTTGGCACAAAAAGAGCACATCTCTGGTTGAAAGGATTGGTAGCCTCTGTATAAGACTCGTCATAATAACAACAAGACATTTTATACATTCACTTCTTTATAATCACTTTGTGCCCAATTTTTATGTAAATCACAACATGTTAGCTTTTGTATAATTTTCCAATGCTCGTCTAAACGGAGCGGCACGCGGTGGAAAAACATGGTTTCCTTGGATTCAGCTAATCCTGAAACCTATATTCACGTTTGTGTCAGTTTATTAATTCCTTTGAGTGTCCTATGCTGGGCATACAAATGCAGCTTAAGGAAGGTAATGTATTAGTGGTTCTGTGCTATCAACTTCTATGTCAAAGACTATTAATTAAATTTGGTAATTTGAGGCAGATGAGCGTCAACTATCAACAGGGGGCACAATACAAAACTATGTTACTACCATGAAGCTCAAAAAGGTCAAAAGTGTTTCTTAAAATGATTTTTGCTTGGCATCTCGTCCTGTTCTACACTATAAAGCCATCCTAATGATGTCAGAGGTAAACAAAATGCAGTATAAAGAGGCTACCAATCTTCCTAACCATGATCTTACTGCTCGCAGTCATTACAATAATGTAGTCATACAACACACTTTAGCTGTTTTTAACAAAGTGACACATTGGAGGTTCAGGAAACAAGCAGGTATCAAGTGGTCTGTGGAGTTTAGGAGTGGTATACAGGGTGTGGATTTCTCTCTGCAGTTCTCTGAAACCCAGGAATGTAGGTTCAATATATGACATGATACATCACACATGCCATATACTGTACCAATGTAGCAAGGAGATAAAGTAGGGGAAATAATGATTTAATCCCCTGTTGAATTTGTAAGTTTGCTCACTTACAAAAAAATGAACAGTCTCTAAATATTATAGAAATTTCACTTTAATGTAGAAAGGAATGATATCAAGCAAAAAAGCACAGCTGCCCACAGAATCAGTTTCTTCCATTCAAACTTCTCCACCACCAGCAACACCAAAGAGCTGTCAAAGGATGTCAGGGACAAGACCGTAGACCTGCACAAGGTTGGAATGGTAGATCATAATCAAGAGGTTTGGTGAGAAGGTGACAGCTGTTGGTATGAGCTCAGTCATACCAACATCAATCTCAGTCTGCTCCCATTTTGGAACTCCATGCAGGATGACTGTAAGCTAATAAAGTCCAAAACTCCACAGCAGGCGCTTGTTAATGATCTGAAAGCAGTTTGGAGCACAGTCACCAAAAACACAATTAGTAAAACACTACGCCCTAATGGACTGAACTCTTGCTGCACCTGCAAGAGCGCCTGCCACAAGAAGGCGCACATACAGGTCTGTCTTAAGTTTGCCAGTGAACATCTAAATGACTCAGAGAAGGCTTGAGATAAAGTACTATCATCAGGAGCCAAAGCTGATTTCTCCGGCATTAACTCGACCCGCCATGCTTGAAGAAAGAGAAATGCTGAATATGACTTAAAGAACACCATCCCCACAGTCAAGCATGGAAGAGAAAATATTATGCTTTGGGGCTGTTTTTCTGCAATGGAACAATTTTACCACATACTGTAAAATCTAGGACAAAAAGACCTTCTCCCAGACAGAACACTAATTCTGTCATTGTCGCTTCTGTCATTGTCACTGTCAAGTCATTGTCTCAGCATGCTAATGAAACAAAACATAAGTTCCCCTGTTCCAAGAAGAAGTAGAGCACATTCAGATAATGCCTAGTGAAACTCCAGACTTCGGTTTTATAGAAAATCTGTGGAAGGAGCTGTCAAGTGGCAGCAAAAAACTTTCTGTAAAGAGGAGTGGGCCAAAATGTGTGCAAACCTGGTGACCAACAACAAGAAATGCCTTACCGCTGTGCTCGCAAACAAGGGATTCTCCACCAAGTAATAAATCAAGTTTAGCTTGGGAATCCAATACTTTTTTCACTCAATGGCCTAAAAATTAATTTTCTCTTGTGTAATTTTTCTGTATTTTTGGTTGATCTTCAGTCTCTCCGTCAAAGTGAATCTACCATTAAGACTGTTCATTTCTTTGTAAATGAGCAAACCTAAAAGTTCATTAGGGGATTAAATGATTATTTTCCTCACTGTATTTACACTGATGGGAAAGCTAACCTGAAACGTAAGCACTGACGTGTGAAGTTATACTAATTATGGGACAGAGGAATGGGACCAAGATGTATGAGGGAAAAAAAAAGAAAGAACAGTCCTTACAAAAAGCTGTACACCCTCTGATCCCTCAGAGGAGAAGAGGTTGACCCTGGGAGAGTTTGATGAAACAAAATATTTTGGAACTGGAATGAAAGCACTGCAGCACTCTTTTTGGGTTGAGTGCCACGTTTAAACTTGCATATCTAAAGGTTCTTATATACTCATTGTAAAAGGAAAGCTGACAGCCAAGCAATTCTATATCAGTGGAGAACCAATTCCAACAGTCTTAGAGAAGCCCATAAAGAGCCTGGGACGGTGGTATAATGCAGACCTCAATGATACGTGGCAACTAGAACAACTAAGGCAGAACTTGGCTGATGACCTCCAGCGGATTAACAACACTGCACTCCCAGGGAAAATGAAGCTCTGGTGCTTCCAGTTTGGGTTATTACCCAGAATACTGTGGCCGCTGACAATGTACGAGGTCTCACTCAATCATGCCAATCGACTAGAGAGGCTAGTGAGCTCCTACGTTAAGAAGTGGCTTGGACTTCCCAAATGCCTCAGCAGCATTGGACTCTACAGCGACGGGATACTGTCATTGCCTATCCCTAGCCTGGTTGAGGAGGCTTGAGATCTCACTGGGTGAATTGGGAGAGTGTGGAAAAGAGGAAACTCTTATGGAGTGAAATCTGGGGCATGGAGTCTAATAGACTAAGTTTCATCATCCGAGCGACATATGATGTGCTACCTTCCCCAATAAATCTGCAGCTGTGGTTTGGAAAGGACCCATCCTGCCCCCTTTGTACAGTCCCAGCAACACTCAAGCACATCTTGGTTGGTCTAGCCTTACTCAGGGCTGATAAATATGGAGACACAACCAGGTCCTCAGGTGTCTAGCAGAGAAAGTTGTGTGCAAAAGAATATCCATCAAAGCTCAACCTTTCACGAACCAAGAGGAGCGTCAGTTTTCATCAACATTTGTCCGGGAAGGAGACAAGCTGAGGACAAGCCCCTCAACCCCAGACCTGGGCCCGCTGAAGGTTGCTAGGGATTGGCAGATGCAAGTGGACTTGGATCAGAGGCTAATTTTTCCCACAGAGATCGTAACAACAACTTTGCCACCAGACCTCGTCCTTTAGTCTAACCCCCCAAAACTTGCGTACGTCACTGAGCTGACGGTACCATGGGAGGAAGCAATTGAGGAAGTGTTTGAGCGTAAGAAGCTGCGGTATGCCAACTTGGCAGCTGAGGCAGAGGACAGAGGCTGGAAGATCAAGGTGCGCCCGGTGGAAGTGGGGTGCAGGGGCTTTGTTGCCAGCATAACAGCAAAGCTGCTTAGAGAGATTGGGATCAGAGGACAGGCGCAACGGCAGGCTATAAGAGAACTAGCTAACACTGCTGAGAGGACCAGTCACTGGCTATGGCTAAAAAGGGCTGACATCACTTGGGCCGCTAAGGCAGTCAGCTAACCGCGAGAGAAAAGAAATATTCCGCTCTTCTCCCCTCTACTCTTCTTCCCTTTTCTGGGAGACAGTGGGGAGGTAGAGCGTACAGCCCGATCCGGCGGGGAGGTGTGGGAAGCCAGATCAGGCGCCCCCTTCTGGCTCTCCTCTCTCCTATCTTGTCCCTTTTGTCTCTATCACCTTTTCTATCCCTTTGAAGATGTTAGGCTCCATAAATGCTGAAGAGGTAAGTATTACTTCTCAGTTGCAGTGAATAGATAAAAAATAAACTGTAGGAAACTAAACAGAAGAAAGAAGAAGAGAAATAACAAGTTAACATAAACCAGTGACACACTCCAGAGCCTGATCAACCCTGGCAGGGCCTCCTTGGATGAGGGTGTCTAGTGATAATGGCCGAAACACCCGATGAATCAAAGGTCCACTACTGACGATGTGTACCAAATTTTAAAATGATAAACTAGATCAGATCTCTAATCCCTAAACCCAACCAAGGAAAGAAAATGGCAGATTAGCCTGGGTAAAAGACAGAAAGTTGAGGCACACAACGATGCGTGCTGCTGGCAAAGTTTCTGGGCTGCCTTTCCTCATAACAGCCATCACTCAAGAGTCTCTCCATCTAAAGCAATGCATTATCAGGGACTGTAACATCTAGTCCTTTTTACTGAATCATTGATGCATGCTCAATCATCCAGGTAAGGAAATCCCCAGAAGCTGATTATGTTCATCTGTATGTAGCATTTCCATAGGAGAAATGTTTCATTACTCATCCAAGTGACTTCTTCAACCGCAGCTGATTGGGGAAACCTGCAGTCAGTGGTGCTAGTTTCAGTCATTATGCAAATGCTGTTTAAGGTTGGAGAAACTTGGCCATTTAAACCTGCAGTCAGGTGAGATTGATGAAGACACTTGGATGAGCGACAAAATGATTCCCCTCACTGGAAACGCTTATATAGTGCGTTTCTATTCTACCTGAGCACCCAAAGCACTCTATGCAGCTTCTCTTGTTCATCTGGTCACACAAGCACATATTCATACATCAATCGATGAATCACAAAACAAGTTGGGGTTAGTATCTTGTCTAAGAATATTTGGCACACAGAGTGGGGCAGTCAGGGATTGAACCACCAACCTTCCAATTAGTAGATGACCTGCTCTACCCACTGAATCTACTGCAGGTGGCTTTTTTTCTTCCACAAAGACACATGTGACAAAACTTTGTGTGTTTACTTTGTGTCTAAGCACCTGTTTACTTTAAAACTACTAGATGTAGTGTGTTAAGTATTATATAACTGAACTCATACTGTTCTTATACTGAACCACCAGTGTTGATTAACATATCCAGAAATATCAAGAATGCTAAGAAAACACAGGCTTCACCAGTAAGAATTTCATTTTTGGAGCTGCTTGTTGGAAGACACCTTATAACTTATGTTAACACAAAGCAGATATAATTTAATAATCGCTTGCAGAACCACAGCAATGGGATCAAAGTGGCAAAAAAGTTACCTGCTCTGTTGAGGAAGAAGCCTTCAAAAACCACAAAGTTATTGACCTGGACAGAATAATAAGAAAACAGATCACTAAAATTTCTTATGAAGTTAACTAGGTAAGTAGATAACCATCTGTGTCCTGACAGCCCCTGCATTTCCAGTCTTAGTGGTGTGTCCACCAATAACATCCCTACACTGTAACCTATGATGTAACCTGATATGCAACTCCTGAGAAAAGTAATTGCAGGTCAGGTTGACACAATTGGCAACAATTTTGAATGGGTTGGTCAGCACTGTCAATTCCTCCTGTGCATTTCCAGCTACTTTTTCAACGCAGTTTTATAATTTATCAGTAAGAGAATAACAATCACAGTCTCAGTGTAAGGAATAATAATGATAGCATCAATATAAGGACTCACAAATGTCAGAAAATTCCTGGTGAGAGATGAAACTACCTGAATGAGGGAATGCACAAAAAAGTGGAAAAACTAGAGGGACAAATAGGTTTGCCCCCAAAAAACTGATCACATCAACAAGCAAGAAGCTAGGAAGGAATTTCTTTTCTGTCTGTTGGCTGCATATGAAACTTTGGGAGATGACCCAATGATACTATACCAGCAAAAATGCGGGCAGCAATGTCCGCCACTTACAGTTACGTTATAGTCTCTAAAAGGTCTAAATCAGGCCTTTGTAATTTCCTCATTTGAACTTACAACTCATCTCATACGTAGTCTTTTGGGATCCAAGTGTGTAACTAGTGTTGTCTAGCTTATATTCTGTATACATCTTTTAGGTCCATCTCACTGTGTTCCTTCTGATGTCAGTGCATGCACAGGTGTCACCACTTTTCAAATCAGGGATTTCCTGATTTTTTTTAATGTTTAGGAAGATTGAGAGTAGTAATTAGTTGATAATGTCAATTTCTATGAATGGAATCCAGTATAGAAACTCTTGTTTGATCTTTGGCATGAAACGGCAAAACTAAATTTCATTAAAAACACATGAAAAGCAGGCTGATAACTCCCCCTTTGTCAGATGAGTTACATGTATATTTTTACTGGAACCCTACTGTTTAAATTCAAGTAATGCAAATACTGTAAGGTGATATAATTTTGACTAATTTGAATTGTACATTGGATGTTTTTGTCTTGTGCTGGCACTGTTTTTCTTATTTTGGACCCTTCTCTTCTCAGTCAGTTTCTTATCTAAATTTACCTTGTCCTAAGATGTAAAGCTATTAACTGATTATATTATATAAACAGGGGGTACCCTGTCTTCCCAGAAATTCCACTACAGATAAACTTGTAAACAACCATTTATTTTACAATAGAGAAGTAGCAGTATTAAAAATAGCCAAAATTGAAGAGAAAGAGGAGGGAGCAAGATTAGCCTAATTATAGCCATGATAACAAGCGAAGCCCCACTAAAAGTCAAATGAAAAACTACAGGGTTTTCTTTTGCTCTCCAGAGGTAATAAAGATTTGCTTTAAAAAGTGTAATGACTGTGTGAAGTGCAGCCCGTACCTGAGGAACACTCTGCGTGAGGCAGTAATGCTTTGCCAGGAAAGACAGGAATTTAGGTGAAGGCCTGTCATAAGCCATCAGCACTGGCTCTAAATTCTTGTGCTACAGGTGGGAGATGGAGAAAGACAGAGAAACAAAAACATGCAATTACCAATAAACACACACAGCAATGACCTGCAATACTAATGTCATCATTTTAGGTACCACTATCACATCATTCCAGTTTTTAGCTCTTTTTGTGAAAGGTCTGTTTCAGATGATTTCAGGGATTCCTAAAGTATTCTCTACCTGTAGCATGAAGTTAAATAGCTCAAGCCCATAGCCATTTCGCTGCAGGTTCTCTGCTATGTAAAAATCCAAAACACAGAGTGGTTCTGCCTCTACGTGCACACCCTGCCGGTCCTGTGGAGGAAATATAGCAAGCATACCTGAAAAGCCTTTCAGAAAGTCAAATACAGATCACAGCAAGGCCGAAAGGAAAGAAGTTAAAAGGAAATTAAAAAAAATATAAGTGACTCACCAGCAAAAATAACTTCTTGTAGCCAACCTTCAGAAATCCCACAACCACACCACGTCCCCTGCAGTTAGGAGACAGGAATAGGGGTTAGTTTGACTTGGCAATGAGTAATACAAATATCTACTGAGGTGAGCTCCTGTGATATACATTAAAAACAGTGTCTTTTATGTCTCAATGCTACAGTACATGATTTGTCATTTCAACATGACTCATCTGACCAGGTCCCGCTGGAAAACACCAACTCAGTCAATCCAGAGAGAAACAGAGAAGCTGAATAATAAGTGAAAGCTGAGGAAGGGATATGAGATGTACCCGCTGCTCTCTCCATTCTTAAGAAGATAGAGCTGATGCTTCTGGGTCTGCAGCTTGGAAGCACTTGTTATAGGTGCTGTGAGCTGTTGGGCCTGAGGGAAAAAAGAATGGGAATCTTAAAAATAGAAACAGATGTCGTTGGATTTTGTCAGTTGAGCTGACACCATTCTTTGCAGACATCAATGTCAAAGTTCAAGTTGAAAGCTATACATACACACTACCAGTCAAACATTTTGACACACCTATTCATTTAACCAGGCTCTGCCTTGACCGGTAGGATTCAGGGTCACCTGATCCATCCACCTGAACTTTAGGAAAAAGTTTTAAGCCTAATCTTAAAAGTAGAAATAGTGTCTGTCTCCCAAAACCCAAAGTGAAAGCTGGTTCCACAGAGGAGGGGCCTGAAAACTGAAGGTTCTGCCTAACAGTCTACTTTTAAATACTATTAGAACCACAGGTAATCCTGTAGTCAGACAGCGAAGTGCTCTAATTGGGTTATATGGTACTATAAAGTCATTAAGATAAGATGGGGTCTGATTATCTTGTATGTGAGGAGGAGGAGGAGGATTTTGAATTCAATTAATTTATGTATTTATTGGAACTTTTTCAGCGTCACTCCAAGATAGGACATTTCTGATTTCAGAGATATTGCACAAATCGAAGAAAGCAGTCCTACACATTTGTTTAATATGTGGATTGAAGGACATATCCAGGTCAAAAATGACTCACAGTGTTACTGGAGGCCAAAGTAATGCCATCGAGAATAAGTATCTGGTTAGATACCATATTTCTAGGAATTTTAGGGCCAAATACAATAACTTCAGATTTATCTGAATATAGAAGCAAAAAGTTAGAGGTCATCCAGGTCTTTATGTCTTTAAGACATTCCTGCAGTTTAACTCATTGGTGTGTGTTATCTGGCTTCATGGACAGATAGAGCTGGGTGTCATCTGCATAGCAGTGAAAATGTATGCTATGTCTTCTAATGATGCTGCCTAAGGGAAGCATGTATAATGTAAACAGAATTGGTCCTAGCACTGAACCCTGTGGAACTCCATAATTAACCTCAGTGTGTGAAGAGGACTCTCCATTTACATGAACAAATTGGAGTCTATTAGATAGATATGATACAAACCACTGCAGTGCAGTACCTGTAATACCTACAGCATGTTCTAATCGCTCTAATAGGATATTATGGTCGACAGTATCGAACGCTGCACTGAGGTCTAGCAGGACAAGCACAGAGATGAGTCCACTGTCAGAGGCCATAAGAAGATCATTTGTAACCTTCACTAAAGCTGTTTCTGTGCTGTGGTACATAGCCGATTATTAGAGATAGGTTGATCATATTTAAGATTAAAGCATTAATTAATGGCAGGACTTCTTTGAGCAGTCTTGTAGGAATGGGGTCTAAAAGACACGTTGATGGTTCGGCAGAGGCATTTACTGAAGTTAGCTCATAAAGATCGATTGGAGAAAAAGAGTCTAAATAAATATCAGTGGTACTGAAAGTAGCTGTAGATAATGCTACAGCTGTGAGATGATTATGAGCATTTTTTTCTCTAGTGGTTAAAACTGTATTTGTGAAGAAATTCATCAAGTCATTAATAGTTAACATTAAAGGGATGGTTGGCTCAACGGTGCTCTGACTTTTTGTCAGCCTGGCTACAGTGCAGTAAAGAAACCTGGGGTTGTTCTTATTTTCTTCTATGTGTTTGTCTAGTCTCGTCTAACTCTAACCCTCAAAGAGTTTCCCAGTCTTGTTCTCTAAAACCTAAAGAATTATGGATTTCATCAACTGGTCCTGTAATGGAATTGACACTCTGCTAGGCTTGGGAGAGCCCGATTGTCCTGCGGAGACGTTTGCTGCCGGATACTCGATGGTCAGTTGCGTCGTGTGTCTGGCGACACTCTCGATGGAGGACAATGAACAACATCTACCAATTTGAAACCATGATAACAGAGTTCGGGCTGATTGGAGCTGGCTTGGACCTGGTTTATCGAAGAACAGGAAGCGGCTACAGCTGTTCAAGATCCCATAAGGCTGGCCGACATGATAGCTGATTGGCTGCGAGTACTCAGACTGTGTTTTGAACGCAATATGGATAAGATCTTGGAGAAGAACAACGGGAATTGAGAGAACTGGTGACCAGTGATGGACATTAGACCAACTGTAAAAATTGGATGCAGTTGTTCGCACTAAACCCAAACATTCACGATCTTCACTCATGCGGCTCCCCTGGCGCCAGCTGAAGGCCTGCCAAGGTTGAAGCTGACTGGAACAACAAATTCTTCCCATGATAACAGGATTGTTGTCAGAACTCTTTGCCCCTCCTTCAAGGCCACCTGGGTCCACTGGAGACTGTTGACTGATGCTTAACCGGGCGTGGTGACACGCACGAAACATGTACACTGATACGCCCTCACTATCACCCTCCCTACCCCGGATCCAACGCATCCTCCCAGCCGATGTGGACACCGGATCAGCTGGAGGCGTAATCGAAGATTGCAGCGGTCCCAGATCAGCTGTACACACTGGAATACTCTCCCATGTTGCTTGTCTGTGTTTTATTGTGCTATGGTGTGTTGATATCTGTGCATTCCTGTATTATCCTTTTGTTTTACACCTAGCCTGACCTGTCTCCCCAATGTGATGTTTGTATTGTATGTACGGTTGGCAAGGTCTGTCATCTCGGTTGTGGGCAACTGCAACTGACAAATAAAGGCTATCTCATCATCATCTCATCTCATCTACAGTGATGAAATTTACTCCCCACTACTGTGTAATCATTATTGTCAATTATTATTATTATTATTATTATTATTATTATTATTATTATTATTATTATTATCATCATCATCATCATCATCATCATCATCAGTAATTGTTATTAGGAAAACATCAGACAAGAGAGGCTTTTTGGGAAACACTGTTAAATGTTCAGTTTCTATGCCATGTGTTAAAACAAGATCTAGAGTGTGATTAAAGTGTTGGGTGGGTTCTTTCACATTTTGAAAGAAGCCAGTTGAGTCCAATAACAGATTAAATGTCAAGGCTTTCCTTTGGATGTTAAAATCACCTGCAATAATCATTTTATCCGAGAGGAGTACTAAATCGGATAAAAAGTCTGCGAAATCAGACAGAAACTCCGTGTAAGGCCCAGGAGGACAATGGTTTATAACAAATAAGACTGTTTTTTGAGTTGTCCAGCTAGGGTGGACAAGGCTAAGCATCCGGCTTTCAAATCAATTAAATCTTGGTCTTTGGTTGATTAATGGTGTGGAAGTTTGCTGTGGCCTCTGCTTCAAGAATGCTGATAGTTAGTATGACTCAGTGTTGATTCATTTAAACTAAATGTCCACAGACAACATCAAAACAAAAAGAAGGAAACAGAAAATTGCGCAAAAACAAAAACAAAAAACCCCCCAAAAACATAAAATCATCTTTGAAGATCTGTGAAAATCACAAAATCAATTTCAGGAACATACCTATTATGTAATAATACATAAAGTCTTGGAATAACATTCACATTTTTATAACTCCCCAAATTTTGCATTAGAGAACAATTTCAACTAATTTAAAGAGAAAATTTCTGTCATACCATTCCAGTGGTGGATGCTTAGATTTAAATTACATGTCAGCATACCAGCAAGCCAACCCTCTAAGCCAAATACTGAAGCTTCACACTTCTTTGTATGCTTTCCCCCCTATTGTATCATGTCAAAATGAGCAGATCTGCTTCTAAAGATGCTCATATCTGACACAGACACTGCCTCTTACCCCCATTTGCTCTACAAACCTTCTGTTTGGGCAGCCAGTCAGATGGAAGCTGTCCTAAAGGGACTGTTGGCCTTAACAAAAAACAAAGTACAGGAGCTAAACAAAGGATGAACTATGAACTGAGTGGCCATAATGGAGATTATTGTGAAAAGTGAATCAAAGCAGCAAAGCGAAACTACTTTAGTGGGTAAAAGAATGAAACTATCTAGTTAGACATTACCATATTTATTCCCTTTTAAGAGTCACATAAGACAAGAGAGAGTGCATAAAAAAAGACCACTGACAGCAGACACAATGTGAGTTGGGTGTCAACTAAGTATGCAAATGAGGCATTCGGATTCCAATTCCTGCTGCTACTCATCCTTAGTAAACAAAATATGTACAATGGACAATGCACAGCTATAACAGATGGAAGAATGATCAGGCCTTACAGTGTATGCGAATGATGGGTGCTTTCAACAAAATAATACTTTCAGTCATCCAGCAAAATTCATACTGGACTTGCTTTAAAACACTTAAGTAAAATGATGATATTGTGACCAAAACTGCATAATTACAATTCCATTAAATATATGAGGGCGTGAACTGGGTTATTGTTCTTGATTGGAAATGGGAGCTTCTCTAATCCATCTGCTTGCACTTACCTGAATCTGATCTGAAATATAGAGTCACAGACACACAGACTGGCTGAAACAAACATTACAGCAGAATGCTTTTTCTGTATTAATACACTCATTATCTGCTATTGAGTGACATAAGTGAATTTAGTGTTTCAGTTAACAGTCACATAAGATTATTTCATGTCCCAACTGAACTGGAAAACACAGCTCAAGAAATACTGAAGGTAACATAAATAGCAATATTTCGATGTCACCAATCAACTATGCATTGTGATTTTGACTGGACATGTCAGGCGATACACTGCGATGTTACTTCAGTAGACAGTGTACACACAAACATAAAAGTTTGACTTGTGGGTTGACTTGTTTAGAAGATGATAGTGTAAAGAAATTCATAAAGAGCTGACATTAGCTTGTTCTAAAAATAAAAAAAGGAAAGCAGCTGTTCAGAGCAGTCTGAATCCTGAGCTTTTGACTAAAAGGAAAATAGTAACATACATATGGCAGATAATAAAAATAGCAGAATATTCCCTTTTGACATGTGTCTTTACACAGAAAAGTAAGCGGACTACACAGACTCACCTTTGCTGAGGCCCTCCCAAGTTCATCAATAACTGTGGCTATGTGAGCTTGAAGATCTGGCCTGCAAAGAAATCGCAGAGCAGAATATTATTAGATAAGAGGCTCATTTTCACTTTTTATATTCCAGACACTCTACCTCTTTCTCACAGTACATCTAAATGCAGGATACCAGATGGCCCACAGGCATGATAAAAGTCTGTTTCCCTGCCTAAACAGGCCACTTCTGTTCATTCATGTTTATTTTTTCTAAAAAAAAAGGGGGCAGTGTCCCTGACTCCTTGCTTTTTCACATAGGGCCAGATAGATCAGCCCAAGAGGTCACAGATTTGTCATTTATGTTCTATTTGCATTATACATGGTTCTGCTTACAGTTGAGGTCAGATGTTTACATACATCCATTATAGGCATGTCATGATGTAGAATGTGACTTGTAGTCTGAAGACATCTGACTTGTCAAAAAGAGCAGTCATTAAGACCAGTCACATCCTGGCAAGCTTAAGCCTTAGTGCACCTTGTGTGGGGCACACTGCTGAACAACTAAGCAATTTCCTGTCATCTGACGGTGATAGTTTCCCAAATACTTGTACTTATGTGCAATTGTTTGACTTGGTGATCTCAGAATCTGCAGTTGTTTAGACATGGCTCCAACAGATCTTCCCAACTTGTGTAAATCTACAATTCTTTCTTCTTTACTGAGATCCCTGGGGTCCAATGAGTGCTGTCAATCAAATCTTTCTTATGGAGGAAAAGTGGGACTCAATTATGATCACCAATGAAAAGTCAATAAGCCTTGGCCGTGTAAACTTAAAAAGATATTGTAGCACCACATTAGAATATTTAAGTAAGTTTAAGTACATATTTGAGCCTGTATGTATATTTTTGGTATTGTGCTATGTAAGCCTGAATTGAAAACCTGAACTGAACCGAGTGTCTGACTGTAAAATACTATCAAAAGGATTCGAAAACCTTTGAAACTTGCCTTCCTGCAGATTTGCGGCCTGCAACCAAGGTCTGGTCCAAGACAGAGATCCTCTCGGAGAATAATTGGTTTATGTCAAAAGGAAACTCCATAGTAAAAACTGGCAAGGCAGCTATGATGTTATCAAACTGGCTAAAGCTAGCTAACGGTGCACGGCCACTCTCCTACTGTCTAACGAAGATAGCTTGTTAGTGCAAAGGCATCAGAGCTCACTGATAATAGCCCCAGAACAACGCTTCGAAATTGCACTCACAGAATTTGAGAGACACTACATATTGCTCTAATAGTTTCAAATACAAACACTTGCTATATACATGGTGACTGCAGCTCTATTGTGTCTGTATGACTACGGCTCAGTCACTCCCTGGCAACATGAACCGTAATATCTGTAAAAGACGTTGTTGTCAATCTGATGTACACACACTGAGCTCATTTAAGCCGAAAAAACGTGTTTGAAGATTCCCAAGAAAAGGTGAAAGAAAGGGTGAAGACAAATTGCGTGATAATCACATTACATGTAAGCTTTTTATCGTTATTAAAATTGTGGGGGAGTAGTTTCTCTCAGGTTTACGGTAAATTGACGAGGCAGAAAGAGGTTAAAGTCATTTGATAGCCTGATTTATTTTACAGATAGTACCTGCAAAAAATCTGTACGACTGATGAAAAATAATATACAGAATCACTTTATAATGAAAAATAATATATTTACAATTCCTATTAATTGGTTTATCAATCTAACTTTTGCGTTTGCAGCATATTATCAGTCTCAAATATGTAATGGCAACTGATTCTACAGAGGGAGACAAAACTGTAATATAACAACATATTGTAATGTAATATTTTAATGACTTTAAAAAACCCCACATATGTATTTATTATGGATTTTCTATAATCAATCAAAATTACACACAGGTTCAGATATACACATACTCATGGTAGTGTTTGCATACCCTCGTTTTTGCTGCCTTATCTGTGGCAGCTGTGTTGCTTTCAGACTGTATTATATGTTAACTATTAGATTAATATTATATTTTTTGTCTTCCTTTGTAAAACTAGCTCCTTTGTTGCCTGTAGAGTTATTCTTATTAATGCTTGGTCAGCTCTTGCTAAAGGTGCCCATTTCATACGAATGGGTTTGTACCTACATTATGAAATCCTTACTGACTTAATAAGCTGATGACCACAGTGGTTATTTTGACTGGAATAAGTGAAATCAGATTATACCCTGGATCTGTTGAAGTTGCTTTGAAACTGACTTAGGTAAAACTCTTTGTTAGTCTGTTAAGATCTAGTTGTCAAAACCTAGACATGTATTTAAATAGTGCAACAAATAAATAATTAACCAGCCACTCTTTTACCTTGATGGAAAGCATCATGAGGTCAAGAACAAGGCCCATAGGAGGCATAGCTAGAGATGGACAAGGTGGCGGTGTTAAGATTTCCATTGGGAGTGTCCAGGAGGGACAGGATATAAATAGAAGTATATAAGAAGGAAATGCTACATGGTTTCAGAGAAGAACACATAAAACCTGCACTTCAACAGTATTATAGTGGTTATTACATTAATAGCGTCTTAATTGGGACTGCTATTTTTTGAGCCACTAATTTATGTTTCTCTTAGCAGAATATTAGGAATGGAATTCTCAAATGATGGATGAGCAGCATGATTTAGTGCAGGCGCAGCAATGTCGTCCTCTACTGACATTACATTTGCATTGACAGAACTGGCATTAGTAGATGAGATGTACTGTCAAAAGACAAAGTCATCTATGCTCCAATAATCAACAACAGGGTTAGTATAACATTTTCTGAGGAGCTAAAGATTGTAAATGGTACTTGTCAAGGAAGTACCTTGTAAATGTTCAGAGTGGGAAAAGAGTTCTTGTCATCTGGAAATAAGGAAGAAATCTTGTGTATATGTTCTACTAAATTCAAAAGGCTTTGCAGAATGTGGGCTAATGATTGGGTTTTAAAATATCCACTGATTAAAAAAGGAAAAGAAAGGAAAAGACCTGACCTGATGTTTGCCAGACAAACATCTAAAATATGTGAAAAGAACCTTGAGTAAGCCAAGTAGTTTGAATTTCTTGAAATGTGGCTAAATGAGAGAATGATTGATGGAGAACAGAACAGCATTTTATTAATCAGAAACAGAAACTACAAATATGTTTATAAATGAACGATGGCAAAGCTTATGGAAAAACGAGCAAGTCTTACTTCACATGATCACTTCACAATACAGCAGAAAGAAATGCCCGTCTTGGATAATAATAACAGTAGATGGCAGCATTGTGCCACTGAGTCGCCTAGTCTGCCCAATCCAAAGGAGCAGAAGCGCAACGACGACGTAAACCTCAGTTCTCACGAGACTCTGCGTGATCCAACATGGCTACGACCTGTTTGTGGAACGTAAACAAAGTACTGAGCCAACTACATCTCTCTCTACATTATAAAGGTTTCAACCCCGAGGAGCTGGACTATTATATCGATTCCTACTCCGAACAATTATTCACAATGATAAAGAACGAAAACTAACGGAGCCGCTCGTAACCCGACTCCATCATCAAAACGACCACTGGACTCATTCACCAACTCAACAACCCAGAAGCAGCTGAATGAAGTACAAATACTTTTTTCAACTTTGTTATTTTCCAACTTTCTGTGAATGGTCCTTGATCTCTCTCGGTCCTTGATTAATGGTCATGACAATTTGTATATTAATTATCATGAAATTGATGTCACGGTCCATTGTGTATTCAGTGGTGCTAGTTTCAGTCATTATGCAAATCTGCTGTTTACAAGGCTGGGGAAACCTACAGTCAGCTGAGACTGAAGAACTTGGTTGAGTGAGGAAACGCTACGTCCAGATGCACACAATTAATTTTCTGGGGTAAATGAAAGCAGTAATTTGTGTAGACAAACTCTATATTCATAGACAGCTTTTATGCTTGAAAATGGTAAAATGGTGAAAACTCTTTGGCTGTATAAATGCAACTACGCAATATACCATAAAATATGAAACCTAATCACAATCCAGTCATAGAGTTTTTGATCCAGAAGGCCAGTTTATAGTATCTACATTGCAATGGTCCTAACAAGATGGTGCTTCATAAAGTTTCTCTTCACTAAGCAACCTGCCAACCTCAGAACTTACAATAGCTGGTGACTTTAATGCTGTGTTGAATCCAATAATGGAGAGATCTGACCTTTCTGCTAATAAAATAACACAACAGAATACATGAAAAATTATGCCTTTATTATTGTTGGACTATTGTTGGACACTTTCCACTTGATCAAGAATACACGCCTTAATTCTGCAGACATAAATGATGTTTTTATTAGATTTTACATTAATTTATACACCTCTTACTTTGACCCAGATATTAAAGATATTTGCAAAGTCATCAGTACGTCACACTAACTGATGCACTTGATTTCTGGCCCAGCAGGTTCTCAGTTTTGGAGGAATAATGTGGTTGCTACAGACCATGTGGTATTAGTTCATCAGCTCAATTTTAAATTCAGGATTCAGTGCAGTTACTTTGTATAGTAAATTGTATAGCATATGTACAATATAGAGCATTAATAAGTCATTCCAGGGCAAAGTAATGTCCCAACACTTATTATGCATTTATAATACAGAATTACAACCAGGAGACAAAAACAGCAAGAAATGAAACCAAAACTAGAAAAGCATTTCCTGAAGAAACTGCGGTGTGAATGCTGATAGTTGAATCTTTTGAGCTGAAATGTAATAACTGCTGGAATGTTAAGTTAAAAATGTTGAATGAGCTGAAATACACAGAATCATTCACTTGAAGGTTAATGTTCAAAACTGTTGTTTCAAACTTTCAAAGTTGGAAAGCAGCTGAACAGGTTTGACATGTACATTAGAAAAAGCTGACTAATGACAAAAGAAAATGTAGAGTCAGAAAACACCTGAATGAAAGCTCATATTCTTTAAATTAGCAGAAGAGTGGAATTATGTATTTTAAATGTCTAAACTCAAGAATCACAAATGAAAAAAGATGCTTGCATGTCTACTCTAATCTGCTGTGTGTGTAGATCACTGCAGGAGGAATCCTGAAGTAGAGCTGGGTTGATGGTAATAAAAGTGGAACTAAAGTCCACAAAAAGTAGCCTGGCATAAGTTCCTGCACAGTCCAGATTGTCTGTCAGAAAAGAGCTCATCCAAATCTTCGGAGAGTCATCAACAGACCTGTGGAGTGTGTGTGTGAAACGCTGGGAAAACCAGAAAAACAAAGAATTAAGATAAAAGAATGAGCAACAAATCAGAAACCCAAAATTCATCAATCATCAGGACTTAGAACATGACATGCTTTTTACAGAATTTTAAAAGGCTTATAGATCTAGAAAGCTACAAATACACAATATATTTTAACATTAATCAATACCAGCAGTTAGGGCTGGGCTATATCATACCGTTCACGGTAATACCGGTATAATGTTGGGCAACGATAGGAAAATGAAATATCGCCATAGAATATGGGTAAAACGCGCATGCGCAGTGCCTTTGTTTACATACGCACATGGCGACGATGCAGAATGAGAAGAGCGAAAGCGGATCGTTGAATGAAACGGATGAACCAGAACTGGTTTGTAAAAATGCTGCAACTTCAGTGGTGTGGAACTGGTTTAGCTTTCATCCGTCAGATACACAACAAAGCACTATTTTTGGTAGAGCATGCTAGCGGGCCGTCGTTATTACCGTGTTTTTTGGAAAATACAGCGCACTTAAAATCAATCCTTTGATTTTTCTGAAAATCGACAGTGTCCCTTATAATCCCGTGTGCCTTATGTATGAATTCTGGTTGTGTTTACTGACCTGGAAATGATTTTATGTACACGGCGCTCGAAAATCTGTCAAATGTTTCAGTACGACTTTGCTAAGCTATGAACCCGCACCGCTTGATGGATTGTCGGAGCATTACGGCTATCGTAGGCAGGAGCCTGGCGGAGTGATACGTACTGTGCTTCAACATAATGTTACCGTATTGTGTGTGTGTGTAACCTCTTTTTAACTTCAGTGGATATTACACATGGTTATGCTGAGGATATGTCGGCCAATTTCCACTGGAAATGCCTTTTGGTTAAACTGTCAGCGAGGAATTTGCACTGTTACATTTTTATATAACTTTAATGCACATAAAAAAGCTGCTTGTTTAAATGAAAATACATTGATGGGTTTTTTTTTTTTGCACTAATAAAGTTGAGGAATTGTAAAGTATTTTGTCTAGTGTCAATTATATCGTCAGTTATATTGTTATCGCAAATTTTCAAATGTATATCATGATAAATATTTTTGGTCATATCGCCCTGCTCTACC